TCTATGTTAGCTAACATACTAACAATACACTAGTAGCCATATTCTATGATTATGAGCACGCTCTGTGAGTTGCCAAGTAACAGCCCGTTCCCATATCACTGTGGGTGCACAATTGCTTATGCACACGCACTACATGATCAGCTTGCAGCTGTATTAGCTAGATAAAAACAAAACAAAACTTTGACGACATAGATTCTCTAGATCTAGGTTCTAATTATGATCTAACCTTTGAAATCTAAGTTTTCAGTTCTGTATATCTGACTCGATGATTCTGTGTTGAACAAAGAAATTATATCATAGCAGTCGGTGCCAAAGACGTGTTCTACTACATGAGGATGAACTCTACCACTGTCAGAGTTTGACACAGGTTTGTATAATTTACCTTTCATTATTTCCAAACTAAGTGTGACCTGTTGACACCTATGGTTATACTTGAAACAGTGTGGTTTTTAAAATATACCTTTCAAGGAAACAAAATGGGAGAAAATGTTACGTTGATAACCTTGAAAAGTGAAGAAAGCATTACTGCAAGAATAGAGATAAGGTTAGAACAGTAATGCTGAATATGTAAAATAAGCCTTAGCCATTAATCCAACCAAGGAAAAGGCTGTCACCCTGGCAAGATGAAAAAAAAAACTATAACAAAGATATCAACAAAAGCCAGGAAATGTCGAGAGATAGCTCTAAGAAAAGCTACGAGAAGGATAGACCTAGAGCGCAGTCACTCTGAAGACTTAGTACAAAGAAAAACTAATAGAAGAGTGTAAAAAACTATGACCACAATCTCTTTGTGGTTGCGCTGTGTGAGAAACCACCAAGCTATCCCGCCCATTCCTACCATGTTTCCTTAGTTTTCGGTGTTCCCATTCCTATTGCCTAATCTTTTTTATTTACAATTTTTCTACTCTTGTATAAACGAGTAATTTGTTTCTGTTTTTCTTATAAGGACGGGCCTTTCCTGTATGTAGGAAATACCAGTGCCTGGATCTAACTATACTTAATAAAACAGATTGTTAAACTTCGTCCGTATGTATTTATTGGAACTTATCCAAATGTATAATATCCGTTCTTGATGCCTCCCAGTGACTTAGAGGGTAAGTCTGAGGACTTATAGCATTAAAAATGGGGGTTCGATACCTGCAATGGGCAGAGTACATACCTCCCATTGTGTAACTTTGTGCTAAACAACAACAACTGTTCGTGACAGTAAACTGTTTGTGAAATTAGCACTAATCGTATTTAAATTTTGCATAATCACGAGTTATTGGCGAAAACTGTATACATACATTTTTCTTCGGTAAATTAAATTAAACCTAAAACCAAATATAAGAATTTATACTTTATCAAGCTTTACAGTGGCTTAATGCTATATAACCCAATAAACGAGTTTAGATATTTGTGGCTGGCACAATACGGATAGCCAATTGGGTAGTGTTGTACTTAATAAACAAATGGAAAAAGGCTTTATGCAATAATATCACAAACTTATTATAAAGCATTTAATAATTAGGTATAATGTTGCTACATTAAACTCTGGTTAATAATAAAAATACATCTTATACATACTTCAGTGTTAATTAAATTTACCAATAACATAAAACACAAAACAGAAACATAAAAATACATCTTAAACATAATTCAGTGTTAATTAAATTTACCAAATACATAAAACACGAAACAGAAACAGAAAAATACATCTTAAACATACTTCAGTGTTAATTAAACTAACCAATAACATAAAACAGAAACATAAAAATACATCTTAAACATACTTCAATGTTAATTAAACTTACATAAAACACGAAACAGAAACAGAAAAATACATCTTAAACATACTTCAGTGTTAATTAAACTTACCAATAACATAAAACACAAAACAGAAACAGAAAAATACATCTTAAACATACTTCAGTGTTAATTAAATTTACCAATAACATAAAACACAAAAAAGAAACATAAAAATACATCTTAAACATACTTCAGTGTTAATTAAACTTACCAATAACATAAAATGCAAAACAGAAACATTAAAATACATCTTAAACGTACTTTAGTGTTAATTAAACTCACCAATATGCTATTAATATGTTACCAATAATACAAAACGAAAACATAATTTTTAATCGTCTTTTTTGGATTGTGATATAACAAAAATGACAAAATAATCTATCTCAGCAGTTCTGTATAACAAATTCCTAAATTGATTTTGCACGAAGTAAAAATAGGCGAAACGTTCTTCTCTTTCGTGGAAGTTGCCGTAAAAGACCTAAAACACAAATATAGAAACCACTATTGAAAGTCTTAAGTTATCAGAAAATGTACAAATACGATATTTCTCAGGTAACGGCAGGATCTTAATCTACATTATAAGTGCATTTTTAAGTCGAATTGAGCATGCTGGTATCATGAAGTAATATGCATTTATTCTTGTGAGAAAGTAAAGCGTGTTTGCTGTGTTTCATGAAACGTGGCTCAAAAAACTGGAGATGCTGTTATACAAACGGCGGATGAGTTGCTACAATGATTTTGACATCTGGCTGTTCACATTTATTTCTAAGATTGGATCGTATATACAAAGAAAGCGGCGAAGAATACATAGAATTCTTTGATAAATCTCATTGATGTAAACTTGACATTTGTTTTGGTTCACATTCGACGAATATGCGTGAAATTAGCAAATTCAATTTGCACACGCGAAATTTACACATACAGGCTGCGTATTTATACAAATATGATTCGTTTTGTAGCATTTTGATGGTGCAAATCATAAGCCACTACAAGTTTCCGTGCAGAATTTATTTATTTTTTCTAAAGCTTAATAGAAATAGAAAATAGATAACCTTCTCGAAAAGTTCTTTCCTGCACCTATATTTAAAATCAATTTCCATTTTGTGGCAACGCAATATTATCACATTTTAGTCTTGTTTGTAGTTTCACTTTTGTAATCCTACTTTTAGCCTAGTGATTAAATTAACTTTAAAAGCGAATAAAATGACGATTTGATTGCAGTTTAAAAATATGTATGCATATTTTGAGCTCAAATACATACTCATGTGCAAATGTTTTGTTTTGAACCAATTGGAAATATCTATGCACCCTCAGGTTGCTGCAGCTACACTTTTCCTTTTTATTTTCCTCTTAAAAACATGAAAACGAATTATATTTTTGTTTTTCAGTCAGGGTGATATCAAGAATATCACTACCACACCTTTATAAACTGGCCTCCAAGTTTTAGTATTTTCCCAGTGAAAATGCATCAAAATTTTTGGAAAGTTACTCTCAGGAAAAGCAGGAGAATTTCATGAAATTTAATCCAGGACCCCAAAACTTTCAGGGCCCTAAGGTAAGCCCTGGACCTCGGGGTAATAATTGATGTGACTGTGGCGCACATCCTCTCGTCTCGCTCTGTCAAATAAACCTTGTCACCCCCCCCACCCACACACACACACAGACACACTTTTAATTTGCATGTTTATAAATTTTCCTATTTGTTTCTTCTTGTTATTAACAAAAAAATTATAACAACAGTGGATAGATACATACCAAAAATATACTAAAGTGTTTGAAAGGAAAGAAGGAAAACATTTTTTGGAATAAGGGATAGTGTTGTGGATAAGGAAGAGGGTATTTTAAATATACCTCGTCCCCCTCCCTCACACACACACACACCCTTTTAATTTGCCTCTAATAAAGAAATAGTAAAGAACAGGTTGTGTGTAGACACCAAATCTATTGTATACCGCTTATTCTTATCATTACAATGTTTACTTCTTCGCAAAACTAACTGATATTTGTTTACAACTTTTAAAGACATGTTTTCTTTTCTTTTTGCCCCCCCCCCCCGCAGTGGCACAGCGGTATGTCTGCGGACTTACAACGCTAGAAACCGGGTTTCGATACCGTGGTGTGCAGAGCACAGATAGCCCTTGTGTAGCTTTGTGCATAATTAAAAAACAAACAAAAAAGCAATCTTTTCTTTTTAGAGAGAAATAACGACATTGACTCATCGATTTGGTGTTAATGTTTTTAAAGATGGGAAGGAGATATTATATCTGATAATTTGTAATAATATCGAGGATACTTAAATAAGAGTATTCCTAATTGCGTGAATCACACAAATCGAAAAAGATTGATATTTTTTCGTTAAACTTTTTATGTGAAACTCTTTACTTGGAATGGTTTAGAGAAAATATAACCTACTGAGAAAAGATATAAAGTTATCTGTTCGATTCATCTAATTTGAGTTGGAAACAATCCTGTTGTAACTTTCACACTAATCATTTCAAACTATGAAATAATGATGCAAGCAATATTAATGTTGTCCTTCGAGAAGAGAAACCCATTAAGCCTAATATATTTATGGATAGACATCCTTTTTTTTTACCAATAAATAGTATAGATATCGGAAATTTTTTTTAAGTATTATATAAGTTAAACGTATATAATGCATTGCGTTCATAAGTAAAGAAATAAAATTAAACAAAATCTTGAAAAATAAAGAAATTTACCCATTATTGTAAAACACATTTCGTTAAATTACATATTATTGTAAGACATATTACGTTAAATTATCCATTATTGTAAGACATATTGCGTTAAATTATCCATTATTGTAAGATATATTGCGTTCAATTACCTATTATTGTAAGACATATTACGTTAAATTATCCATTATTGTAAGACATATTGTGTTAAATTATCCATTATTATAAGATATATTGCGTTAAATTACCTATTATTCTAAGACATATTACGTTAAATTATCCATTATTATAAGATATATTGCGTTAAATTATCCATTATTGTAAGATATATTGCGTTAAATTATCCATTATTGTAAGATATATTGCGTTAAGTTACCCATTATTGTAAAGATATTGTGTTAAGTTACCCATTATAGTAAGATATATTGCGTTAAATTACTTATTATTGTAAGCCATATTACGTTAAATTATCCATTATTGTAAGATATATTGCGTTAAATCATCCATTATTTTAAACATATTGTGTTAAGTTACCCATTATTGTAAGACATATTATGTTAAATTATCCATTATTGTAAGATATATTGTGTTAAATCATGGGTAATAAATGAAATCACTCTTTAGCAGTTTGTGATTTATTAGTGAAGAAATAAAATGAAATAGTTACAGTAGTAGAAAAAAAAGTTTGTGTAAAAAATTAAATAATTCAATTAACCTAGGGGATATGTGTTTACGTATCTTTCTGGTAAAAAGTCCTCACTTAAATATATAATGACGCCGTCTTGTGAGTTATATGTCAAACTTTTTACTGATGTAAATTTTAAGAAATTCTTGAATTAAACACGTGGACAGCTACAAAGTTCATACTAAAAATGATTATAATACCATGTAAATGTGTACAAGGTGTCCGGAAGGTCGAGAACCAACCATAGATGATTTGCTGCTCGGTTTGTTTGGTTTGAATTTCGGCAAATCTACACGAGGGTTATTTGCGACAGCCGTCTCTAATTTAGCAGTGAACGACAGGAGGAAGACAGCTAGTCATCATAACCAACTCTTGGCCTACTCTTTAACCAACAAATAATGCGATTGACCGTAACATTATAACGCCCCCACGACTTAAAGGGTGAGCATGTTTGGTGGGACTGGGACTCGAACCCGCGACCCTCAGATTGCGAGTCGAGCGCCCTAACCACCTGACCATGCCAGGTCCTTGCAGCTTGGCAGTTGGGGCTTGGTTCAACGACACCTTTTCAGGACATTGGATTGTCAGACGTGGTCCCCAGAAAGTGGCCCCAATATTTTCGAAGTTTACTCCCATGGATTTCTTTTTCTGTGGACTGCTCAAGGCACGTGTGCACAAAGAGAAGATCACGGACACCGAACATCTGACACAAGGAACTCTCGACTAGTGTCGGACCATTGACAATATCACGATCATGCTTCTATTCTTTAGTGTTCAAAGAGAGTGTAAGCATCGTCTCCAAATTATTTTTCCAATTACAGGGACAGCAGTGGAACATATTCTGTAGAATTCGTTGAAGTGCCTGTGGTTCCAGACTTTTCGGACACCATGTACATATATTCTGAATGAACAAGTGTTTATCTAATCATATGTATAGAACACTTAATAAATGAAAGTAATGTTTTGATTAGAAAAAAAGGAAATGTGTTAAGGAGCCATTATAGAAATAATTATATTAGTAATAGCATTGGAAGCAGGTGGATTTGCATAATATAAAACATATAATGAACTAGATAGAAGTATCAACCAAAATGGTGTGAAAACGTCGGTTAAGTCAGTATAACCTTTCAAAGTGTTATCAACAAAAATGATGTGAAAACGTCGGTTAAGTCAGTATAACCTTTCAAAGTAGTATCAACAAAATGGTGTGAAAACGTCGATTAAGTCAGTATAACCTTTCAAAGTTGTATCAACAAAAATGGTGTGAAAACGTCAGTTCCGTCAGTATAACCTTTCAAAGTGTTATCAACAAAAATGATCTGAAAACGTCGGTTAAGTCAGTATAACCTTTCAAAGAATTATCAACAAAAATGGTGTGAAAACGTCGGTTAAGTCAGTATAACCTTTCAAAGTAGTATCAACAAAATGGTGTGAAAACGTCGATTAAGTCAGTATAACCTTTCAAAGTTGTATCAACAAAAATGGTGTGAAAACGTCAGTTCCGTCAGTATAACCTTTCAAAGTTGTATCACCAAAAGTGGTGTAAAAACGTCGGTTCCGTCAGTATAACCTTTCAAAGTAGTATCAATAAAATGGTGTGAAAACGTCGATTAAATCAGTATTACCTTTCAAAGTAGTATAAAAAAATGGTGTGAAAACGTCGGTTAAGTCAGTATAACCTTTCAAAGTAGTATCAACAAAATGGTGTGAAAACGTCGATTGAGTCAGTATAACCTTTCAAAGTATTATCAACAAAAATGGTGTAAAAACATCGGTTCCGTCAGTATAACCTTTCAAAGTATTATCAACATAAGTGGTGTGAAAACATCGGTTCCGTGAGTATAACCTTTCAATTTCGGTGAATTATTAATATCAATGAGGTTAGATTGCGTTTATAATGTAGAACAGTTACCTTACGTCAGGATTATATAACTATGTATTACCATATTTCTATACTCTTATGATCATACCAATCAGTTAACTATTGGTCGTAGCGTCATTACTAGAATATTATTGTTACAGCTAATTTATTTAATGGGCGACAATAAAATATGAAGCTTCAACTGTGTTCGGTTAGGACTTGTTTTCATAAAACTTGATATTTTTCAATTGTGAGCTTTGTTTGTTTGTAATTAAACAGAATGCTATCTGTGCTGCGCCTACCACATGTATCGAAACCAGGTTTTTAGCGTTGTAAACCCACAGACATTCCGCTAAGCCACTGATAGGGGGGTTGTGAGCAACACTAACGTGAATTAATTATTTTTATTTAAAGATTAAAAGAGACCAATGTATCATATGAGACTATATTTTACATATGTAACCAGTATATTGATAAGCGTTACAACAATCACAGTTATAGCTTCCGAGGTTTATAGCACACCAACTACAGCAAGCCAATAATATATTCTGTCTTTAGGCGCGTCGCGTTGATTATATTTATAGGCGTGAGGAGAGTTTCTTGAAATTTCAGCTTACGGAACAATATAAATGATACACCATTGTTTACGTACACACGTATATTGTTGATTCTTACACTCGAGAATCTTCTACAACGTTAGAGAATAGGCGAGAATTTTGCAATACATATTTAACAGTATACGTTATGTACATTTCTAAATATAAATTTAATTTAAACAAACATCGATAATAACATAGATAATTGATAGTAAATCCGTCACAGTATAAGGTCCGCTTATAACGGGCGAAATATCGCATTGATAGTCACCAAACGTAGCATGTACCCATGGTGCTCCTCGGAGAATGGCATAGGGCATAGTCTGACCCCCCCCCTAGCATGTACCCTTAGTGCCTCTCGGAGAAGGGCATAGTCTGACCTCCTCTCCATGTCATCACGAGTACCATCATAACAAATGTTCGATTGTTTGTATAATTGTTATTTAGAATTATATTTATATAAGATGTGTTGACATCAAGGTTAAAAGGTCCTCGAGGTTACAAACAGTTAAACAGAAACATTGATAGCGTTGAGTACTATTGACTAGCCGGTGAGTGCTGTTGACTAGCTGCCCTCTCTCTAGTCTATAATTTCAAAATGACGGACATCTAGCCTAGACAGTACTCATGCAGTTTTGTGCGAAAAAACAAACGATATTAGTGACGATAAGGAAAGAACCGTCCATAAAAACGTAATATCAAATTTTCTCATGCAGAAAATGGTGTACTATCCAGCTTATATGTCTCCTAAATTATCTTATGATTTTTAGTAAGATGTTTGTTTGAAGTTAAGCACAAAGCCACACAATGGGCTATCTGTGCTCTGTCCATCACGGTTATCGAAACTCGGTTTCTAGCGTTGTAAGTCCGCTGACATACCGCTGTGCCACTGGGGGGTTTTTCAGTAAGAATCAATCGCGTTTAGTGCTTTAATAGGTCATTCGTTAAAAATTAAAAATTAATCGTGACACTGGATAAACATTATAGCTCATTACTGACAAAAGCATTGATAAATGGCAGAAAGAGAGAAAAGCATTTTTAATCATGAGGAGGTAAATTTTTAACCTATCTTTACGTATGTAAAATAGACTCAATAAGTATATTATGTGTATAGAAATGTTAGTTACTCAGTTTTGTGTATTTTATATGTTTTCTCTTGATTCTGTGACGTTTTTATTGTCTATTTTATTAAATCTTAATTACATGAATATAAACGAATAATCAAACATAATATGTATAACCTAGAAAAATAATGACTCTCTATCTACAGGACCCGCAGTGGCACAGCGGTAGGTCTACGGTCTTATAACGCTAAAAACCGGGTTTCGATACACGTAGTGGAAACAGCACAGATAGTTCATTGCGTAGCTTTGTGCTGAATAAACAGACAAACAAAAACCTATTTATTTGCACTCCGAACACCAGATGTTATTTGCACTCCGGACGCCAGATGTTATTTGCACTCCGGACACCAGATTTTATTTGCACTCCGGACACCAGATGTTATTTGCACTCCGGACACCATATGTTTGTTGTTGATAGTATGGTAATAAACGAAAAGACCAGAAACTGGGCTCATCCAGTTATGAGAGATTTAAACATATGAGTTGTAAATTATGCATTATGAATAAGATGGTTGTAACAGAGAGTGTTTTTTATGTTTGTTTGTTGTTAAGCACAAAGCTTATTTGTGTTGTGCAATTTTCAGTTGTTTTAGCTCTCAGACTTACTGCTGAGCTATTAGTTATCCCTAAATAATTCATTTCTGTCATACTTCAGCATTAAACGCCACACAAACTAGTGTAAAAATGTGTTTAGTGTTAGACTTCGAAAGATCAACATTTTTTCCATTACTAGCATGGGGGAGAGGGTTCAAAGGACCCTTCATGATTTACAAATGCCCTAATGAACCCGATCTCATCCATGGGGGGGGGGGGGTCTCATCCGCAAACAGGCCACCTTCCCGTGGTACTCGAGCACATATATCAGGCTTGGACCCGCTATTTTTAAACGTACGAAATTAATTTAGCTCCCACTCCCCCGTAACTCAGCCATACGATTGTGAACTTATGTTACTAAAAAAAGTGGGTTTCGATACCAGTGGTGGGCATAGCACAGATAACCCATTATGTAACTTGGCGCTTAACAACAAACAAATGAACAATGAAAATAGTATGAAACATGTCACTCTGAAGTATGGAGGGAGCCAGAAACACATGTCAGATGTGGACTCAGTGACCCTGTACATCTACTCCTAGACCATCATCATGCCTGTATGATCTTCTGGTCACGTTTTAGCCCGCCTCCCCCCTCCCCAGTGACACAGCGGTATGTCTGCGGACTTACAACGCTAGAATCCGGGTTTTGATACCCGTGGTGAGCAGAGCACAGATAGCCCCTTGTGTAATTTTGTGCTTAATTACAAAACAAACAAACAAACGTTTTAGCCCTCTATTGTAGGGGGGATACGCTATATAGATAGGGAAACCTCCTGAGTCCACACCAATTTAATCTGTGAGAGGAACTTGTGGACAAACAAATAAACAAATATAGGGTAGTAATAGACAGGAAACTTGTCTCGATAAAGTTAATTAGACAATATACATAAGAAACAATGATAGGTATTGGAACAAGAAGGTCGTATAAGAATTTTCATGAAATACACCTGTGACAATTACTCAGATTAAGTTTCTCGATCAATTAATAAAAGTTTTCTATAGAATTACACGAGAACAGCAATCATTTGTTGCTAGCTTTCGAAAACATAAGAAACAAACGCAAAGTCAACCAACTGTTTGTTGAATTTCGAGCAATACTACTCGACGGCTATCTCCGTTAGCCGTTCCTAATTTAGAAGCGATAGACTAGAGGGAAGGTAGCTAATGATCATCACCTGTTATCAAACCCTTGGTCTACTCTTATTGAATAGTTGGATTCAACATCACATTATAACGTCCCTGCGGCTAAAATGTGGGAAGCATATTCTGTGATGGGATTCGAGTCCGCAACCCGAAGATTGCGAGTCGAGTGCTCCAGTGCTCTTCAATGAAGGTATGAAATAATCGCACTTCTTAAACTTTTATGATGATATTTATCATTTGCACTACATTTCAGCTTGCATTTTTACAGTACGTTTGTTTAAAGCTCTTACCAACATGTTTTGAAATTAATGGCGATAATCAGATGGTGGAGAAAACTAATACTGTGCTAGATGTACTTTCACAAGTTCTCCTAAAGTGTTGTGTTTCAAGAGTAAATAAAACCAAAATTAAGAGTAATAAATATTTTTATTTGTTGCTTTTGAAGTTCGTATGTCATGCTTTGCTGTGGTCTACAGAACGCATAATTCTTCTCGTGATTCATGGCATGCGCATGTTTAACTGACATCACGATAGCTGAAACTGCAACGTTAGAGTCCCTTATGTGACGTCATTTCAATGTCTCCTGACTGACTGACAGACAACACACTATTGTATAATGGTGCGAGTGGTTAAAACAGGTGACCTTTCTAGGCAGCCTTCGGCCCCCCTTTGGGGGAATAAACTAACACATATCGAAAATACTTCGCGTAGAATTAATAATATTAATGTAGATTTTATTTTATTATCAAGTATGTCTGACAAAGCCTGAAAAAGACTGCATCGAATATCAGATTTCTAAGGTAAAAACATGGAAGTATCATTTGTTCTAGGTAAATGTGTGAGCTAGATTAATAATTAATTATTAAACTTCTCCATCTTTTAACCTCCATGATGTATCATTTGTTCTAGGTAAATGTGTGGTCTAGATTAATAATTAATTATTAAACTTCTCCATCTTTTAACCTCCATGATGTATCATTTGTTCTAGGTAAATGTGTGGTCTAGATTAATAATTAATTATTAAACTTCTCCATCTTTTAACCTCCATGATGTATCATTTGAATGATTAAAACCACTTGAATATAACATAGCAACACAATAAGGTTGATACCAATTGTAATCATATTGTTCTTCGCTGGGCTGCTGCGGGTTTCAAATAAGAATAGTATATAATGTATAATAGCATATAAGTAACTTTAATTGCTGAATGTCGCTCTCAACGATCGTGTAGGGCTCATTACTCTGAATACATTACAACATGAAATTCCTTACTTAAAAGGATGTCTGTATCAACTGTTTATTGTCATATAAAGTTACAATAAAAGTCATAATAAGGTTATATCAGCTTTATTGGTGTTAATAAAGGCAGAACTTCCGAGAAAAATGGAACGGAAATAGGGAATTTGGTGGAAAGTAAGGAATTCACAGAAAAATGGAAAGGAAGTTGTGAATATGGTGGAAGAGAGGAAATCCCCAGAAAAAAAATAGCACGGAAATAGTGCATATGGTGGACGACAAGAAATCCTTAGAATAACATAACGAAAATAGTGAATATGGCGGAAGACAAGAAATCCTTAGAATAACATAACGAAAATAGTGAATATGGTGGAAGACAAAAAATCCTTAGAATACTGAACGGAAATAGTGAATATGTTGGAAGAAAGAAAATCCATAGATACTGAAACGGAAATAGTGAATATGTTGGAAGAAAGAAAATCCATAGAATACTGAAACGGAAATAGTGAATATGTTGGAAGAAAGAAAATCCATAGAATACTGAAACGGAAATAGTGAATATGTTGGAAGAAAGAAAATCCATAGAATACTGAAACGAAAATAGTGAATATGTTGGAAGAAAGAAAATCCATAGAATACTGAAACGGAAATAGTAAATATGGTGGAAGAAAGAAAATCCATAGAATACTGAAACGGAAATAGTGAATATGGTGGAAGACAGTAAATTCTCAGAAAAATGGAATGAAGATAGTGGAGATGGTAATAATTTAATATATTCTTACGATTAAAGAAACTCCAACAGAGGTAGAAATGACTTTATAAAGCTCACTGATATTTACGTATCTATTTTAGTTGATTCAACACTTACCTTATGCTACTGTGTATTTTAGTTTTATTTTAATAACATTCAATTTGTTGAAACCGTTATATGTACCTTTCTTTCATTTCATGGGGGTAATTTACTATTCTACGTACTTAACAACTTGCACTTCACTAGCAACAGATGGCGCGCAAGAAATAGTAACCAATCATACGTGACGTTCTACTATATTTAACACACTAAACTAAAACATGTTTTCCCAGCTAATTCTTTGTAAAACGAAGCCCTTTCGTATTATTGGGGAATTTATTTTTTTAATTATACCGCTTTTGCTTAATATTTTCCATAACGTTACTAAGTAAGGATGGAAAAATTATGTGATGAAAACAAAAAATCTGAGTTTAGAAAATAGAATACAGCTAACTTCTGTTTCGTTCCACTTGTATGAGTTGTGGAGATGAAGGAAATATCAAAATCTTAACTCATAAAGGCGTAGAAAAAAAAATTGAGAAACCAAATAAGCGTTGTAAAAATGATGTGATTTAAATAACTTATTTGTCATGTTTTAAAATAAATACTGTCTCAGTCAACATCGTTTAAATAATCTCAGTTTATTAAACAATAAGCAAACATGTTATTATTTAGTTTAGTAACGCAGATTATATCCATGTGCTTTCACTCTGTTTAACAACTCAGAAATGTGTCATTAACCAGTTGCACTTCGCAAAAACATGTTGTTATTCAGTTAAGTAGTATAGATATACATATATATGGCTTTGCTCAGTTGAATTACGCAGAAATATGTCATTAACCAGTTGCACTTCACAAAAACATGTTGTTATTCAGTTCAGTATATGTTTTTACTCAATTCAACAACGCAGAAATATGTCATTAGCCAATTCCGCTTCATAAAAATATTACATTATTCAGAATTACAAAGGATCGCAATTTGATTATTAAACTTGAACATTTGACGAAGGTACTATAACTATATTAGAGACTGAAGCAATACATATATATATATATAATATTTGCAAACCACGACCGTTCCCATTAAGTGAAAAATCCCATTTCCTACGCATATAAAAGACGTAATTTGAATTCTTAAACACTATATTTGTCTGGCCCACTTCATAAGGAAGAATTATAAGCGTTGCTGTTTTCAATTAATCTCAGGCTATTAATATACACATACATGCGTACCTATATACGTGTCTTGAAATCACTGTTTCGAATACTAGTACCATATCAGCAAGACGAGGGGAAAGTATTTAATGCTAACTAACAAGCTGAATAGTAACAGAATATCACAGAAATTATAGGGGAAACTTGATGTCACAGTAATTTACAACATAATCTGGTAGCAGTGTCACATGTGATAGAATTTATTATGGGACTTCTATATTATACTTACATATTGTCATAAAACGCATGATATTGATTTATTTTATTTATGTAGAATTATAAAATGGATACATTAGTATTCTGAAGTTAACTATTTCTCTTTTTTTTTTTTCTATAATTCATTACAGTGGAACTTTTAAAACTTTCCGTAAGTTTCAGGACATCCAAAACTAGGTAAGGAGGAACTCGTTTTTCAGTGCATTGTTTATCATGTTTTCCTGATTCTTTAAAGAAGAAATTACAACTTTTTTTTCCTAATCATTATGTTATCGTGTACATATTCTTTATTTTGGCTTAACTTAACTAGAATGGAAAATATACTGTTAGAAAGAACAATAATTCAGTTGTAAACATCATGTACCTGATTATCTTTAACTAACAACTTTGATTAACCAACTCATTGTATAGCCATCAGATCCATAACTTGTTTGTATAGCCATCAGATCCATAACTTGTTTGTATAGCCATCAGATCCAAAACTTGTTTGTATAGCCATCAGATCCATAACTTGTTTGTATAGCCATCAGATCCATAACTTGTTTGTATAGCCATCAAATCCATAACTTGTTTGTATAGCTATCAGATCCATAATTTGTTTGTATAGCCATCAAATT